CCAAGTGTTTGCATAAGCCATTCGGAAAAGGCAATGGAAACTGTACACAAACGCGTGTCCACGTGCACCGATGTGGGAAAACTACCCAACAAAACCTGAAGTGGGAAAGAACCAGACTACAAAATAACAAGTAATACGAAACAGAGAAAGACAGCAAAGTATGGAAGGCTACAAGCACTGGTGTACCTTTGAGCGGTAAGATGACAGGTGAGTTCTGCTGCTGCTTGTTCATTTCTAAGGCTTCTGTATGAAGCCTCACTACTTTATAACTGTTCAAAAACTGCTTTCTAAGTACCCAGAGTGAGAACTCTCTGGGTGGTACAAACGGTTAAGCACTCAGCTACCTGCCCAAGACTGGCAGCGTGAATGTACTCAGAGGGGCCTTGGAAGAGGGGCCTTGGAAGACAGGCCACCCCAGGGAGCTGTCACACTGCACACAGGGTCACCTTCGGTCAGAATCCGCTTCCTGGCAACTACCAACAGATGACGAGGTTACTAATCAAGTAAGCACACAGAGAGCATCCACTTAGCAAAAAGCCCAGTGATGCAGTGCTGGGCCCCACGCTGGCTCCCATCACATGACAGGCTAACCCTAACGGCCTGAGCCACCTCCATGTCAACACTCTTTCTCTGAGCAAACCTCTGCCCGTTTCCTCCATTCTCTAAGCTCATCCTACAGCTGATCCTCTCAGTTTCTTCACCATCCATCACCTCCCTTAACTCCCCTGTCTTATCTCCTCCTGTGTTACTCGGCAGCAAAACCCTTAACCTGGTTGAACCCAAGTATCTGCTTCCTCTGAACCTCACCCGAGCAGCAGAACACGCCCAGAGAAAAGCTGTAGTGCCAGTACTCACTTAAAATTTATGACCAAAAGCTACCAAATGGTCATAAATAAATGGTCAAGTCTGCGGTGCAATCCCACTGCATTTTGCCAGTAAATGCCTTCTCCCCGCCCTTAGATGAGCATCCTGCTTCTTCCTCCACGAGCCCTCCCCTGGTGACCTTACTGACCAGTGTACACACTTCCGAGAGGGAGTCGCAGCAACCAGAGAACCCCGCCTTACCACCACCGATTCCACCCACCTGCTGCCCCTGCCTCACACTCTGCCCTCCTCCCAGTACAAGGAAAGACGGGGGCCTGCTCCTTTTCTACAGCTCAGCTTTCCACCCTGCCCGATTCCATTCCCCACTGCCACTTCAAGTATTTCCTTTTACCACTGTCCCTTTTCTCTTGCATTATCTTCTTCTCTCTCAATACTGGATCATTCTCACTGTCACACACACACACCTTAGTATCATAAAATGTTCCCCTCTAGTTACTGCCTTATTTCTGTCACCCTTCCTGACAAAGCTCTTTCCTCTCTGATCCCTTCCCTCCTCAGTCCACTAGCGCCCCACCATGACATTCAAATGCCTTTGGTAAAGTCACCAATGATGGCCTAAAGCTTCCCGAAGCCAATGGCCAACTCTTGACCCTCCTCTTACCTGACCTCTCAGCTGCACCTGACATGGTTAACCACTCCCTCCTTCTTGAAGCAATCTTCTCTCAGCCTCCACAGGATCACAAGTCCCTGGATTCTTTCACTTCACCGACTCCTCCTTCTCCACTTCACCCTCTCACCTTGTTTGTGACTTCAAATGGCCAGTACATGCCGCTGATCCTAAAATCATTTTCAGCTCTGAGCTCTCTTCTGAGGTTCAGAACAACATCAGATTTTGACATGGCAAAACAGAACTACCCCCACTCCTCACTTATCACCATCGTTAGGTTCCAAAGACCTGGTCATGATGCAAAAATCGGCATTAGGCAGAAATGAAGGCTGACCACCTCAGATCCCAGGTGGAAGATGACTACATCATTATGTAACTACCAAACCACTGAGGATCACGGCTCAGCCAAGCTGATGCATAATCTCCATCATCACAGCCAGGGCTGCCCTCACCTAAAACCTGGCATTCGTTACTGCCAGACATACGTCATCAATGCACAAAATAATCGGACAGTTGTCAAAAACGCTTACCCCTCCCTCAAAAAAACATCTGCTCCCTCCACAAGCCTTCTCAGGAAAAGGCCCCACCATCCATCCAGTTGATAAGAGTCAACCTTAACATACCTTTCCTTCATACCCTACAGTAAATTCATCATTGAGTCCTTAACAAAACCGATCTGAATCCAACCACCTCCTACCATCCCTGCTACTATAACACTAGTCAAAGTCACCCTGACCTATAACTCCTGCTTCCATCCTTGCCCCTCAGACAACCTCCCCTCTACCCTGTACCCAGAGCCATCTCTCTAAAGCAGAAATCAAAGCATGGCACTCATCTTCTTGAAGGCCTCCAGTGTGTCCATTACGTCTGGAGAAAATATAAATTCTGTACCAGATCGCACACACTCAGGCCCACCTCCCCCAATCCTCGCCTTTACTGTTACCCTCCAGCTACACTTCCCTGCTGTCTGTCCCTCAGACGTGGCACAGCTGCTCCCATCGGATGACCTCTGCATCCACTCTTGGTTCCACCTGGAATGTTCTTCCCTCAAATCCTCATATGCCTACCTCCTTCTGTCATTCAAATTTCAATCCAAATATCATCAACTCAGCAAGGCATTCCCCGTAAGCAACCCCAGTCACTCCCTAGCACATCTTCCTATTTTCTTTTCTCCATAGAACTTCTCAACATTTGAAATTTACTTATGTCTTGGAGTTCAGGTTTACCGTCCCTCCTAGAAGGTAAATTCCTTTAAGGTGAGAATGGAACTTTGTTTACCACTTATCCTTAACATGAACGCCAGGGCCTAGCAAACAGTAGGTGTTCAAGAAATATTTGTTAACCAATTGAATTTTATAATTGAAAATTTGAATTGTAGTAGTTTTTGACATTACCAAAGAAAAAAAAACCAAACCTACTGTCACTGAGTCAATTCCAACTCACAGCAACCCTGTATACGACAGGGAAGAAGTGCCCATAGCGTTTCCAAAGCTATAAATCTTTATGGAAGAAGACTGTCACATCTTTCTCCCAGGGAGTGGCTGGTGGGTTCAAATCACCAACCTTCTGGTTAGCAGCCAAATGCTATATCCACTGCACCACGAGAGCTCCTTCTTAACATTATACTTACTTTATTTTAATACTGTAATATCAGAAAAGAGTGAGCACTGATAAAACAGTATCAAGACCCTCACAAGCTCTTCCCTTTCGCTTTAATAAACTTTGATTCCTGTGGGGCGGGGGGACAGTATCAAGAATTTGGTTACAAAATGGCTCTTACCTCCATTGTCAAGACTCCCAGAATAAAACCACTGAACATAATAATCTAATTGTCCATTAGCAGGAAACTAGCTAAATAAAATGGGTGACAGCCATAAAATGGATTATTATGCCGCCATTAAAAAGAATGAAAAAGACCTACATATGCTAATACTGAAAGCAATGCAAGCCATTTGGCTGACTGAAAGCATCAAATTACAGAAAAATATATTCAATGGGATATCTTTTGTTTCAGAATACACAGATACATGCTTGGATACGGCAGAAAAATTTCTAGGGAAAGCCCATGAAAAGTGGCTACCTCTCCAAAACGAGAGTGAAAGGTGAAGGGACCTTCCAACAAGCTCTAGCAATCACTTCTGACCAGCAATTCAGATCAGCACTTGCATTTCACTGTTTCAAAGGCTTTAAAATGTCTTTGTAAAAAGCACACCACCTGTATTTTAAAGTGATGCAGAAGCCAATGAGGCAACCAGTGCCAGGTGTCTCAGGTCAGCGGCAGACACAGAGGGCAGCAGGCACTGCCACTGGCCCGCCCACCAGAGACCGGCCCCTCTCTCTTCTCTCTGCCACAGGCCCCTCTCCTCCCATTACTGTGCTTCACGGACATTCTACTTTTTACCGAGGATCTGCAGCAACCCTGCATCAAGCAAGTCTACAGGCATTATTTTTCCAATAGCATGTGCTCACTTTTGGTAATTCTCACATTTCAAACATTTTCATAATGCTATTGCACACTTAACAGATCACAGTATGGTGCAAACCTAACTTTTATATGCACTGGGAAACCAAATACTTCGTGTGACTCACTTTACTGTGCTATTCGCTGTTTTACAGTTGTCTAGAACCAAACCCACAATCTCTTTGAGGGATGTCTGCACTAAGACTGGGAATGCTTGATACGGTATTCTTCCTGAAGCTCTAGAGGGAGGGAGATATGGGACCTGTGACCAAGGCCTAACTGATGGGCATAAGCACATTTTGGGACATGCTTTTGCTTTCTTGATTAAAAGGGACAGATATGACTGATATACCCTTCTGCCCTCTTAACATGCTTGGACTATGGGAGCCATCTTGTAACTACAAGGCAGCAAGAGCCAACATGTAGGTGAAAGGATGTGAGCAGGCTGGGGTCTGGGAACCACTCCACAGGTGAAGGCTTCCTGTTACATAAGAAAATTAAGTCCCGCTTTGTCTAAGGTTGAGTTTGTCTAATGCTGAGTTCTGCTACCTCCAGCAAGAGAAACGCCAAAATAATATTCCTGGGAATCTATTTTAAAGAGAAGCTAAAAATGAAAGAACCCAAATTCTGCATAGAATGAGAATGTATAAATCAGATGTATACTACAAACCGGGAGCTCTGGTAGCATAGTGGCTAAGGCACTTGACTGCTAACCAGAAGGCTGGAGGTTCAAACCCACCAGCCACTCCTCAGAAGGAAGATGGGGCAATCTACTTCCGTAGTGATACTGCCTCGGAAACCCAAGGAGGGGTCGCTATGAGTCGGGTCCGACTTGACGGCACATAACAACAACAACAACCAACTGCAAACCAATTCTTGTCATTAATGCCTATATACTGAATTAAAAAAAAAAAAAAAAAACACTTAAAACAGAAAAGAGTAAATAGAAAATTACAGTCAATACCAATGGTGAAGCAAGACTTCGTAATGCAGATATTCAGAATTCACACAATGAAGATAAACTCACACAGTGAAACTGAAGTCTGATCAATGCTGGGGCTGTTCTGGACTGATGTTCATTGTTCTATAAATTTCTTTAAGTAATAACAGGGCAGTGTCTTCAGATTCCCTATCAAAAAGAAAAGCACATTTGAGACAATTAGCAGAAACTAATGTCTATCACAAAGGTGGAAAAGACAGCTTTTCTTCTATTCAACTCTACCCAGAAGGACAGATTAAAAGTGTCATCCCTAAGCTGTCACCACAAACTAGGCAGATACTGACCAGCTAGCTCCATAACAGTCACATTGCAATTCTCCTTAGTGACAAGGAAACATGAAAAGATGGCTTTTCAAAGTCCCTACCACTCAAATTCTGTGAAGGGCCATCCATTCAGAAAATGGGGTGTAAGAAGAACCAAAGGCAGATGACATACTGCCACCTTGTGGATAACAAAAGGGGAACGTGCTAATTGTGAACACACAAGAGTTCCAATCAATATTCTACAATAAATGAGAAATCTCACAAAAACTGCTACATCTCACAGCAGCTAAAGGCCCCATGAATGTTATCCAAGCAACAAGTTCTAACAAAAAGTCATAAATAGAGAATAAAAAAGTAGCTATAAAGAAACTGAGGCAAATCTTCAAACCAAAGCTGAAAAGACTTACCAATAGCATAAGTGACTCTGAAGTGCAAAAAGATATTCATTGAAACTCTCTATTGGCTTCTCTTGAAGAACGTAGTCGACACGGCGGCCCCCGTTTAACATTCCCACCTTTCCTGAGCGGTCCTCATCCTCAGGCAAATCCGGATTTTCAACAATCTTTTCTGCTGGAATTTAAGCCATGTCATTGTCAAAGTCCATCACTTAATCACTATCCAACTGTAGCTAACCTTCTGGGCTCAATGAGAATACTGCCTGACACACATGGCAATCTGGGGAGCTATCAGGCTCTCTCCTCCTTTCTCCAAAGAGCCAAGGGAAGAGGAACTGGTTACCCGAGAGAGAGAGAGAGAGAGAGAGAGAGAGAGAGAGAGACGGTGTGGCGGGGGGAGAGAGAAAGGGACGGAGAGGGACAGAAAGGGAGAGAGGGAGGAGAAAGGGCCGGCAAGCTGACAGAAGTCAAGAAGCAAAGGGGTGAGAGAGCACTGCAGAAAGGAAGGAAACAGAATCGAAAAGTCAAAACCACCACGGCACAATGGCCTGACACGGCACACAAAGTCTCTAATGACACAATTAAACAACATATCAGGACGATCCCTTTTCAGAGTGAGTTCTTTAAAACGCCCACACACAAACCTAGTCCTCAACTCTGATATCCCACTCTGGGCTGATGAATGTCAATAAAGTTAAAAAAAGAAAAAAACCTGCAGAGTAAAAAGCTCAGGAGCTATTACGTCAAAACCCAGTAAGAAAGGTGGCAAACATTTTGCAGGAATGCATTTGATGGTGCAGCCCGTCACAGTAACAGGCATTCCTTTACATAAACGCATTTGCTTTGGAAAAATGCTTCAAATGTCAAGTTACCTTCAACTGCTTGCTTTTCCTCCTCTTCTTTGATTTGATTGGCTACCTTCTCCAATTCTTCTTGCAACTGAGTTGAAGAGGTATGAGCACGGGCAAACTCATTCAAGGTCTGCCAGGCACTTTTCAGGGAGCTAATGAAACCCTGCTTCAGATCAGATCCCATGCGAGAGAGGCTTTCTTTCAGCTCTGCAGAGATTAAGATGGCACACCAAATTAATCGATTACTGGGGGAAAGTCGGCCCCACGACACTTAGAACAAATGAATACATCCAGGCAGGAGAAAACTTTTCAGCCCTCTCTTAAATTTCAAATATATGGAGTTCCTCATCCAAGAATCCTTAACATGTTAAAAAAAAAAATGTGTTTGGGTAGTATTATTTTGTCATTTTTATTAAAAAGGAAAAAAAAAAAAAGCTATAAACTTCTTCTCTCCAACAAAATTCAGAGTTCAAATACCATAAAAACATAACCACACTTGTGTGTTTTTCCTACTGCAAGGTAAAACATGAGTCCACAATATTTTTTAAAAAATCAGTTTTTATCATCTTTAATAGTGAGAGAAAAGGTCTTGAGAATTTGAGATTCTGACATGACCACCATTTAAACTTCTAACTTAGGAAGGACGAAGCTTGGCTTTCCCACTTTTATCTAATAAATCACATGTGAATTCAAGGTCTTTATCCCATTTCTCACCTTAACTTCATCATCAAACCAAGCTCACTGCCGTCGAGTCAGATCCAACACATAGCGACCCCTCCTTGGGTTTCTGAGGCAGTATCTCTATGAAAATAGATTGCCCAACCTTCCTTCCAAGGAGTGGTTGGTGGGTTTGAACTGCCAGCCTTCTGGTCAGCAGTCAAATGCCTTAGGCACTACACCACTTGAGCTCCTCTTAACTTCATAAGAATTAAATATTTTAAAAAGTATGATGGCAGCAAAATAAAGAAATAAATAGATGGGATCATGTTTACCTCCTGATGGCTGGTTATTAGTTCAAATGCTTCCCCTCTTCCCGATTCCACATATAACCAAACTCCACCCCAATGTAATGAAGCATCTTTATCATCTTACTACCATCTTCCTCTCATTCCTAATTATCTCAACAATTAGAATGCAAATCCACCAAGGAGAAGAAACTCATTCACAGCTGTCCTTTACAGCTTTTCCAAATACTTAGTAAAAAATGCCACACATAGTAAGCACTTAACTAACGTCAATTCTGTCAAAAAGAACCTAACTTTCTTCATCATTCATTCTAGATTAAAAAAATGATAGGAAGGAAACAGGTTTTTATCCCATTGCATTTACCTAAATGAAGCCTCTTTCTGCCTTTGTGATGTGGAATGAGCACTGCCTTCAAATCCAAATCTGGAACGATCATAGGTTCCAATCGATAGGCCACCGGATCAAGCTATAACAAGGAAAAATTGGAAACTTATGAAAAGCTGTTGTATTCTGAGTTATATACCTTCACTGGGTGAGAAAATGGGTAATTGGCAAACCAGGGTTTCACACCTTACTGACATACTAGTGCCTGTAAGCACTTTTAAGTTTGTGAGTAAAATTACATTTAAGCAAAGCAACAGAATACTTTTCTTGCACAACAGTTTTTGATAGAAAAGCTTATTGGCAAGTATCTGACTAACACCCTGAGACAAAGACCTGAGCCCCAGAAAATCAAGATCAGTATCAATTTCTAAAAAATAAGAATCTGAGAATCTATCAGGATGAAAGGAACAAGGTCATGTTGTTCAAAAGAGAAAATCAACTCAGTTCACTCACAGGATGGTAAATATTGAAGAACCCCTTACAGGTAGGGAGTCTGTAGTTCTCGTCTATCCTGTCCACTCCTCGAATTGTGAGGAACATACCAACTGGGGATCCCAAGGCAAAGAAAATCTCTGGTTCAAAGTCTAAGGAGTTGTAAACAACAGAAACCTAGAAAGAACCAAATGTTAATAAAAGATGATCATCTCAATGTCACATAATAAGTCACAAGCTTCGAAAGTTCCTAGAACAGCATGTAATCAAAAGCACGTAACACAGACAAGGAATTGTGTAAGCACCCCTATGATGCGTAGAAGCACTGTCATGGATAAGCACCCCTATGATGCGTAGAAGCACTGTCAGGAACAAGCACCCCTATGATGCGTAGAAGCACTGTCATGGATAAGCACCCCTATGATGCGTAGAAGCACTGTCATGGACAGCTGTGGCTAGCTTTAGACGATTACAGAATGTCTCTTTAAAGCTAGATAATCTACAGACTCTTGTGTCTTCTAGCTATACAATAGCCTAGCGGACAGCATAACATATAGAGCAGACAGCTGCTGCTGTTGGATGCACTGGAGCTAAGTCTAACTCACAGCAGCACCACAGGACAGAGGAGAACTGCCCCACAGGCTTGCCCAGGCTGTAAGCTTTACAGCAGCAGACCACCAGGTCATTTCTCCTGCGGAGCTGCTGGCTGGGTTCAAAGTGCCGACCTTTTGGTCAAGAGCCGAGCCCTTAATCATTGCACCACTAGCTCCTTATGCAGTATTACATTCATGAGAGTTGTGAGTGTGGTTAAAACTGTAGGTTCTACAATCAAACTCCCTGGCTTTGAATCCTGACTCTACTCCTTACTTACTATGTGATCTTATGCAAGTTTCTTAACCTCATCTCAGCCTCAGTTTCCTCATCTATGAACTGGGAATTACAGCAATGCCAAACTAATAATGCGGATGAAGAATAACTAACCTAATCCATATAAAGTGCTTAGCACAACAAGTATTACCACATTTTTCACATACAGCACACCCATGTAAATAACATATACCTGTATATAACACACAAAGCGTGCACAGGAGGCTAACTTGTGCAAGGTTGTGGTTTGCAAAAACATACAATGTGCACATTATTTGCACAAAAATACAGTACCTCTATTGTAACTACCATGCTCACTTTTTAAGCCAAGAGTCTTTCCATTAGGAAAACGATTTGTCCCTATAGAGCCTCTGTAGTTTACAGGTAGCCAGTTCCATTCCCTGCCTTCTTTACATCAGTAATGTACTCATCTAAGATCCTTACATACACAACTACAAATACACTGGATGCAACATCATCTAAAGAGATTTTAATGCTTCCAAGCCATTGAGATAAAAATATATTATTACATGCAGCTATTATCAACCATGTAGTCAATTTTTATAGGACTATTTCCTCAAGGGAGGAACTGTGGATACTAAAAAGTATAATTTAAGTGAAAGCAGCAAATTTCTCTCACCAAAATTTAAATGTACCCTGAACATAACTGTGTAACGACAGCCACCTTTGCTGTTAGCGGCTATGACGGACTAAGGCTGTAAAATTTTAAGTAGTAGAAAAGCTGCAATAAAAAACTTCAGAACCTAAATAATATGTTCGGTGCATTTTCAGTCCTTTATTTTGAACATCAAGAAAGATGCATTCAATTTTTATTAAGAAATAACCAGTTTTTCTCTACCGCTATGTAAATGTTGAATATTTAAAGAATTTAAAGATGGAATCCTCACAGCCAACCTCCAGTGTACGGATCGGTGATTCCTGTACAGAGTGTGCAGGCCTAGTCACAGTGGAGTCACTAGGGCTGGTATAACCCAGTGGAGTAACTCATGGTGTCACCCCCTACCATGGACTGCCTCCTCTACCAGGCCATACAGAATCCTTAGTAATAATTTTTGTTACTCATATATCATAATCCCCCGCCTCACTGAACGTAATGCCAATAGTAGTGACACAAACAACTAGCAAAATTTAAATGACATCTTTAAATTACAATAGTGCAAGCGAGCAAGATGAAACCAGCTCACTCCAAGAGTCATTGTAATTGGGTAATAAGGACAGCTTTGACTGGAGGGTGTTAGAAAGTTCAAAAAGTAAATTCAGCAGTTTTAGCTTTGTAGATATATTGACACATGTAAGCTGGGCTTATGAAAAATGTTCTTGTTATAACTAATGGGGACATTTTTATAAAAAAAAATAAAACAGATTTCTGCTGAAACCCAACACCCACTCCTCGAAAGAAGGTTGGGCAATCTACTTCTGTAGTGATACCGCCTCAGAAACCCAGAGGGGTCACTATGAGTCGGGTCTGACTCAACGGCACGTAACAACAACAAACAACAAACAGAAACAATGCACAAAGTTTTACAGACAGTACCCCGCCCCCACCCAGCAGCAGAGCTGGTACAGTCTGCACCGCCCGTACCCCCCAGTGCCGCCACTGTCTAATCCACCGGCAAACTTGCCTGTCCGGTGCCAACTCCGAAAGACTCGTAATCAACGTGCACAGAGGAAACACAAGCACCGACTGGAAGTTTCCGCTTCGACCCGTTCGACTCTGAAGGGAGAGCAGCTGTTTCTTTAGCCTTCTGAGCACTCTCCTCTTGCTCTTTTGTCGCAGTGGCCATCGCTGCCTTCTTTTCTGATGCCGCTTTTTTCTGCTCCTGTGAAATACCAACCTTGATAACCTAACCCGAGAGAACGTGCAGTTCTCGGCAGTCACCGTGAAGCACGCTATCTCAGCATTAAGGAATGACTAATTTGTTAGGCATGATAATAGTACTGTGATTACCAGAGAAACGTCTTTTTAAGACATGTATACTAAATATTTCAGGACAAAATGCAACCATGCCTATAATTCACTTTAAAACTCTTCAGGAAAAAAGATTAAGAAGAACCTAATGTGGAAAGACAGCTACAATTAAATTTCAGTACTGGCTACCACTATGTATTATTTCTCTACTCTCTTACATAATTTAATCTTTTATTAATAAAAAGCTTTAGAAAGTCAGTGTCTATGATGTTTATGATCTCAACTTTCAACAGAAGTACTACGTAACTGTAAACTATGTATACTTCCCATAAGAAACTGTTAACTTACAAGAAATGTCTTCATTCAATATTATAAACGTTTGTGACTAAATGAAGTCATTGACAAGGTGTCATCAAAAGTTGGGGGGCTATATGCAGACAATGGAATACTACTCAGATTTTCTTAAAAAAAGGAATTAATGACAAAATAAACAACAATTGGATGAATCTCAAAAACATTATTTAGAGTAAAAGAACCCAGATATGTTGATTATCTATACAAACTTCCAAAAGAGGCAAAAAACTATTCATTGTGGGAGCTCTCGTAACATAGTGCCTAAGGCATTTGACTGCTAACCAGAAGGCTGGCAGTTCAAAGCCACCAGCTACTCCTCAGAAGGAAGACTGGGCAATCTACTTCCATAATGATACCACCTAGGCAACCCAAGGAGGAGTCACTATGAGTCGAATCGACTTGACAGTAGTGAGTTTGGTTTGGAGTTTCATGACAGAAACCAGATAAAGGATAGTTGTATGGGGGGAGGAGTTGACTGGAAAGAGGACTAAGGGAACTAGCTGAGTGATAGAAGTGTTCTATTCTTGTTTTAGGAGTGCCTAAGGCACATGACTGCTAACCAGAAGGCTGGTGGTTCAAACCCACCAGCCACTCCTCAGAAGGAAGATGGGGCAACCTGCTTCCATAGTGATACTGCCTCGGCAACCCAAGGAGGGCTCGCTATGAGTCAGGTCCAACTCAACAGCACATAACAACAACAACAATAGGAGCTCTGGTAGCATAGTGCCTAAGGCATTTGACTGCTAACTAGAAGGTTGTCAGTTCAAACCCACCAGCCACTCCACAGAATGAAGATGAGGCAATCTACTTCCGTAAAGACTGACTGCCTTAGAAACCCAATGGGGGTAGTAGCTATGAGCTGGAATTGACTCAATGGCAATGGGTTTGGTCTTTCTTTTCTTTTTTAATCAGTGTATACAACTGTCAAGTTTATTACACTGAATACTTAACAATCTGTGCATTACCATAAATGAGTAAATAAACGAAAGCTTTGGGGACATTTATATCAAAGGTATCTCTCTGTGAAGATGAGATAAAATCTGTTCACACTGGTTCGTAATCACGCCCGCAATCCAGCAGCAACAGTAACGTGGAGCCATATGAGCAGTGTGGCTTCCGCGGCCTCCTTCCCTTGGCTGTGAACGGCCATCTGCAAGGCTCTGCTTGAAAAGTTTGACAGCCTACACAACACAGGTGCTCATACCTATCTAACCTGTTAACTAATTCCAAATGCTAGGAAATCTAGAAAGAATTCCAACTGCTTAATTCAAAAGGCAATACAGGAAAAAGAAAAGCCCCTGCCAGCCAGCTGTAACCGCTTCCACCACTAAGGTTTCTAAGGCTCCGGGATCTCTGCCCTTGGGAAGGAACATCAGAAGAAGTCTAAAAGCCAAAGAACATTCTCAGTGTTTGCCAGTTTAGATCTGCTTCTCCCTCAAAAGTACTTCCCATTCCACGCATAGAACTCCGCATTCCAAATCGACCAGAACGCTGTCTACAGAGAGCGTCAGCTCTCCTACTGGCAACAAGTGTTTTGCTTCCCCCAGTCACAGGCACTAATTGAAAACTAAGTGAACCAACACACACACAGTTTTGACTCTCAATAATTCCCAACACTAAAAACTATTTTCCTTTCCAATAAACATCACTAAGGTGGTTTACAAAGGAAAGGGGAAAAAAAAAGCACAAGCCACAAATATCAGCTCTCCTTATTATAAAAATAATCGGCTACGGTCATCTGATTAGCTCATCTGATTATTTCAGTTACAGTCAGTCAAAAGGACACCACATGCTCTTGCTATTGATCCAGCAGCACCTTGCTGGTGGTGACAAATGGTCAGCAATCAAGGGCAACTTGGCCGAGAACGCTTCCTGGTTCATTCAGAGGCAATTACTTTTGAATTTAAAAAGTAAGATCACTCTACAGATTTTTATTCAAGACATTCTTATGTTGTTGTTGTTGTTGTTACGTGCCATCGAGTCGGCCCTGACTCATAGCGACCCCTCCTCCTTGGGTTTCCGAGGCAGTATCACTACGGAAGTAGGATTGCCCAACCTTCCTTCCGAGGAGTGGTTGGTGGGTTTGAACCGCCAACCGTCTGCTTAGCAGGCAAGTGTCTTAGCCACTATGCTACCAGAGCTCCTAGACATTCTTATAATGCTGTAATTTATACAACCAAGCAACTGTAGTCTATCAACTCAGCTCCTGCTAGAAATTTTTCAAGAACTACAGAATGCTTTCTGCTTTTTTTTCCCTTTTTATTTCAGAATGAAATCAAGGACATAATATGGAAGCTGAAAACATCACTTCTCATCTTTCACTGTTTGGGGTTTTGGGCAGGCTTGTGCGTCACTGATGTGTACATGGGGACAGACCCTTTGACGCACAGAGTACCCACCCTGATATGAAGGAACCACATTAGCCTCTGTCTGACCACTGTGCTCCTGGAGATAAGAGCCCCAGAGTGGCCGAGAGGCTCACCTGTGGTAAGGACTCATCATCCAGGACAAGTGAGACTGAAGACACCTCTGTCCACTTAACCACCAAAGTTAACAACCTCCTCGACGTCTATCATCAAATACCATTCGTAGTCAGTATAAAACGTCTCTTGAGTTGCACTCTTCTGTCCCATCTCCTGATATGACACCCGTATATGACTCTGTGAGGTTCCCGCCAGCCCCCAGCTTCATCACCGCGTCTCCACACTACCACCACCGTGAGCACGGCAGAACACCAATCCAGTCCCCACACTGCCCTCACCGCCTCCTGCCCATCAGCCACTCCTGCTGAAGTGAGACAGGAGTCCTGAGCAGGGCGAAAACACAAACCGACAACAGAGCTGCCTCCACTTACCAGCATTCATGAAACACGTCAGCCTTCTAAGTATCTGGTGGAAAGTACCATGATTTTCGGTGACTGGCCTTACAAACACGCTGGAGGACCACTTTCTTACAAGAGAAAATCCAAAGGACCCCCTACCAACCCTCTTCCCAACTGACCTGATGTTTCTTCCACAGGAAAACATGTCTACTCCTGTCGGGCCATTCCCCGACCCTACTCCTCCTTCCAACTCGAGGCCCCTGCCTCAGGAAAGTCTTCTCTCATCAGCGCTGAGCCCCCCTCCCTGGTCAGAACTGCTGCTCTTCTCTGGCTCAACTGTTTAGCTGCCTCCGTCACAGCACTGATGTGTCGTCACCTGTGGTCCAATCTCCCCTAACTAGACTGTATTCCCTTGTTCGTCTCCAAATCCCAAGAACCAAGACAGCACCTGACCCAGGAAAGTTATTTAATAAACATGCTGAATGACTCAGAATTCCTTAAGCTAAGAAATCAGTCCTAGACTGCAACCCTAGTACAAAAACAAAGTGGCAGGTACTAAGTTCCAAATAAACAGCAGCAATGAAAGAGCCACACATGTTCAAGACAGCTCACCAAAGACCATGCTCCTCATAATGAAGTGGCTACCCTGAGAGAGACTTCTCTCATTTTTTTAATTAACTGGAAAATGTCTGTGAAATTACTCTGAACAAGAAATCAAAATTAAATAAAATGGAGTTTTTTTTCCCAGTTGCTGTATTTCTTTTTAAATGTTCTGTTGCTGTTTTGTATTATTTAGGGTGTTTCTTTTTGGTGATTATTTAATGAGATATTATCCATCATATGTGCTTTTCTCCTTATCCCTTTAGATGGTGAGAAGCATTAGGGCAGGTGAGAGAGAGGGAGCTATTACTGGGTATGAAGTTTCACCTGCCCTTTATTTCATTCTCAAACCTATTTAAGAGGGAGATACTGTCAACTCACTTTAGAAATAAAGAAAATCAAGGGGATAGAAGTTAGGCAAATTGTTCATGAATATGCAGCAAAGGGAATATACTCATGATCATACATAAGGTTGACAGATGCTACTTCTACATATGTATTTGTACGTGCTATAAGAATGTCCACAAAAATAGAATAGGGGTCAAAGTTATGGTAACTTATTAGTCACAACCAACCAACCTCAGGGAGCAAGTTGCTATACCTGTCGGCTCAGGATCACGGTCACAGGGGACAGCAACATCAACTAGCATAACATACTACACAAAGATATTGTTCTACATCCTACTCTGGTAAGTAGCAACTGAGTTCTTAGAAGCTTACGAGTTTTTTTTTTTAATTGTGATTTGAGTGAAAGGTTACAGAGCAAATTCACTTTCCATACAGCAGCTCATATACTTTGTCTCATAATATTGAGTGCAATTTCCCACAATGCAACAGCTCCCCTCCCACTTCCTCCCCACAGTTACCTCTTCCTGTGTCCTTCCCTCCCATGTACTCCTGCCCCAAGCTGTCTCCCTGTGCATACACAGCCCTTCTATTTTCCCATGATTAATCTCTCCAAGGAGTGTATCTACCTAACGTAAATGTTCAGCTCATATGCCTGTCTTTTCTTTGACTGGAAGCCACAGGAGTAGGTTCAATTCCAAACCTGAAGGGCAGCTAGGGGCCATAGTCTCAGTGGTTCCATCAGGTTCTATAAGACCAGCAAACCTGGTCCTTTTTTTTTTTTTTTTTATGATTTTGAGTTTTGTTCCACATTGTTCTCCCACTCTGTCCAGGATCTCCTGGACATAGATCCCCATCCAAGTGGCTGACAGTGGTAGCTAGGCACCATCTAGTTCTTCTGGTCTCATGGTCATATAGGCTGTGGATCGCATGGTGTACCACTTGCTTGGACTAAAAAAGCTTGCAAGCTTTTAAGAAGAAAACCAGAGATGCACGGAAACAATTACTCCAAAGGACCAGGAGACCATGGGAACCTCAGCCTAAGTGACTATAAGACCAAAAGAACTAGATGGTGCCCAGCTACCACTGTCACCACTTACAAAGGGATCTGTACAGGAGATCCCAGATAGAGTGGGAGAAAAATGTGCAACAAAACCCAAAATCACAAAAAAAGACCAAGCTTACTGGTCTAATAGAGACTGGCAAAACCCCCAAGACTATGGCATCCAGTCACCTTTTAGGCCTGGAATTGAACTCTTTCCCGTGCCTCCTAGACAAACAGGCAGGCATATAAATAGGGTGAACACTTACACCAAGTAGGTACACTCATTAGATCAATCAATCATGGGAAATCAGAAGGGCAGGCTTTGCCCAAGGAGGTAGCTCAGAGAGCAGGAATGCATAGAAAGAAAGATACAGGGAAAAGGTAACCACAGGGAAGAAGAGGGTAGAGAGCTGTAACATTATGGGGACTGCAATCAATGTCATGAGACAAAGTATATGAGCTGCTGTATGGAAAATGAATTCGCTCTGTAAACATTCACCCAAATCACAATTTGAAAAAAAAAAAAGGCGCTTGTAAGTGGCCGAACTGGGAATGATAATGACCGATTTATGCCAGTTTGCCCAGAACTTTCCTGGGTTTTATACTAGGAAACCCCCAAAACCCAGTTTTAAAATGGAAAGTCAGGCACCCTCACTGGGACCTGAACTCAGCTCTAGCCGTGTGTGCTAGCAAACCACCCAACCACCGCAGGATTACAGCAGAGAGGGGCTTTACCAGTTTGGCTGCTTTGTGTTTTACAAAGTTAGCTATCTTCTTCCGGGGCCCAAGGGGTATCTCCATCTCCTTCAGGTCATCAACGGTACACATAAGCTTTAAAAGGAAACAAACAAGCACGTTAGCCAGTCACTCGAGTAGAACATGAGATCAACTGTCACACAAAAATGCTAAGAAGAAAGCAAAGCATCTAAAGCAACCTAGGATACAGTCAGTTAAAAGATACAGTGTTGTTTGTAAGTCATGCATTAGTGTGGGCCAAGGAGTCTTAGGTTTCTGTAACTAAATCATTCTGTCTGTTAACAGAGAACACATGCAGTGTACAAAATTCGAAAGGTATCATTGAGCACACATGAAGTCTCCCTCCTCCACTCCCGTCCCAACAACCAATTCTCCCATCAGCAACAACTGCTGACAATGTGGTCCCCTTCCAGAAAAATCATACGCGTATCTTGCACTACACCCTTGCCTGTGTGAAGCCCAGTAACCACACAATACTGAGCCTTGCTCTCTTCATGGAGAGCACCCGAGGGCACTTCCCACCAGTCTCCCATTTCACTTTCAACACCTGCAAATGACTCAGCCAGTGCCTGCCTGGTGGACACTGCTGACGTTTCCCAGGTTTCACGGTTACCAACAATGCTACACTAAGCGTCCTTCTGTATCATCTCCTGTGACTATCTGTACAGGAAATATTCCTGCCAGTGGAATTGCTGGGTCAAAAGGTGTGTACCGCTCCTATTTTAGAAGATATTGCCAAACTGCCCTCCGTCGAGGGTGTACCAACGCACTCCCATAGCCACATCTAAACCAACACTGCTCCTTTCTGCTCGGGCTGGCCACACAGTATATCGTCAGTTTTTTTTTTAATTTTGCTAAACTCATAAGGTTAAAAAAAAAATTCATTGTCTTTTCATTCTCATATTATGAGTTTTTTTATTATGTTATTTCATTTACTGTGAACCATCTATTCATGTCTTTGCCTGTTTTCCTCCTGGGGACAATCTTCTGTAATGGATTTGTGGAAGGTCTGAATATTAATAAGCCCTTTGTCTATAATGTGTGTCCTGAGTATTTATTCTTATCATTGTCCTTCTGCTGTTGTTGATGGTGTCTTCTGCTATGTAGTTTTTGTCTTTTATGTCTTCTGGGCTTTGTGTCAACCTTAGAAATGTGTTTCCAGATTATAAAAAAACTCCTGTGTTTTTCAATCTTTTTAACACTTACATCTTTGACTTAGCTAGAATATATTTTAATGTCAGAGTGTCTAAATGAGTCTTAATTTTTAAATGTATACACAGGAAAAACAATTTTAAAAAAAAAGGAATCAAATTGTCATCGATACCAGAGACTCCATATCAATCTTTTCCTTTTCAAAAGTGCTGACGTATTCCGAGAGGCTAAGTGCTTCCAGAGTTTCTTTCAAAGTTAGGGCTTCTTCATTTTCAACATCAAGATCACAAGACTCATCCAAAGTCAGCTTGGGCTCTTCAGTCATCTTTAAAAAAAAAAAAAAAAAACTGGAAACATTACAAAGCTCAGAAAAATTCCTACAAAATGTCTTTCCTAACCTAAAACAATATTGCTCTATACACCAACCATAATTTTAAGTACTCTGCCATCCAAAGTTTGGATATTCTAAACGTATTTGAATCTGACACATCACTTACATTCCCATTTCCTACAATAATGTACTCTCTTTTTTAAATCAAAAACTCTCTCTCATGCTGAAATTAATAATTCATAAGGAAGGAGAGTTAAGTGAGAAACTTAAACTAGTTAAATGATTCCACAACATCTCTAAGCTTTAAGGTATTTTCATACACAAAAACATTTCGGGAAACAGCTCAGATTTTGGAAAACTGTTCAGCTCACCTCTAAGCCCCAGGTTACTGCACGGTCATACCTGCTTGTCTGGAAAATGTGGCTGTTTCATGACTCCGTTAGCAACAGCAAGAGGCCCAGGAGACTTGGATAAACTCAAATCTTTCTGATTGGACAGTATGTCAAACAGTATCAAAGAGCCTAAGAAAAAGAGGCAGTTTATTTACTGACATACTCAAAAAACCGAACTCACTGCCATCAAGTCAATTCTGACTCAGTACCTCCACTGGCTTTCCAAGGCTGTAATCTTTACAGAAGCAGACCGCCTCATCTGCCTTCTGCAGAGTGGCTAGTGGTTTCAAAGCACCAACTTTCATTTAGCAGCCTTAACCACTACACCACAGAACTCCTAAATGGTGCCTAGGTGCTTTTATAATACTAATAAAGGCTAACACTAATCAACTCTACTTTTTTTCCCAAAGTCCAAAGGCAGAAGCAGACAAAAGTTAGATGTCAGCCAAAATTTGGTCATCAGTACCTCATTATCAAACCAAGATTTGATCACCACAGGGCAGAGGAAATTGAAACATAAAAGCCCTCCTAGATGGTATTAGAGGTGAACCTCAAAGGCTGACTCAAACTCAAAGTGTTAACTTGGACCCTTTACCATCTGGAACTCTACATCTTAACCCTAGCAGCGTCACCTAGACTGAAAGTAATGATGGCTCAACAAAAAGTGTGTTTAAAACGTGTACCCTTGACGGTTTTACCTAAACTGTGACCAGCCAGGGAGACCCCTCCTTTGAAGTCTGGGTTCCGACTCATGAAGAGCGCATGCAGGCGGTTTATCTCCAGGCCTACTTTCTCCACAATCGTCTGACAGTAGCTGGGGCTATTGTAAAACAAAATATCTAGCAAGGTTTCATTGGTAAAGTGACGGAACCGACCAATACTTGGTAAAGTGATTTTCTTAATATTCCTGTTTAAAAAGGGAAAAAAAAAAAAAAGTATTTTCAAGTCAGTATTGACCTTAAATCTGTGGGTTTAAACAAAGCTGCTTAGACTTTGATTACCACAAACACACTGAACTGAAAACACCACAAACTAATTATGAATTGATTCTGTAGACAAAATTATTACAAATAAACCAAATTTAAAGCAAAGATGTTACTTAGGCCTGTAACTGCACCATGAATTTGGGATTCTCCAAAGAGCTATATTATATAAACTAAGGCATATGCAAATATTTTAGTTTTATTTTTAAAGAGGAAAGACTACTTGTTCATTTTTCTTCCAACTGGAATCAGAGTATCTGGCAAAAATTGTGAGTAAAAGGACAAGAGACAACATTAGCAAGGAGTATGAAAGGACCTACATGGAATGAAAACTTCCTGATTTGAGAAGAGCCACAGACAAGTTCACAAACATCCAAGCAGAAAGAAAACACTTCATGGGAGGGCCTAACATGGAGAGAATGCTGTCTGCAGCATTAGTTAAACCATTAAACCACGTACCTTAAACCATTATGAGAGTCCCCAAAATCCAGTCCTATGTCCCAGCATATTACCTAAACCCGTGGTTTTCAAAGGGGAGCGTTCAAAAATGAAGGGGGGCATTTTCAGTTGTCCCAGTGCCTGGCGAGTGCTGCTGGCATGTAGTGCCAGCAACAGTCCTGAACAATAAGGAACTGTCCTGCCAAGAGCATTTCCACTAACAATAATCTCACACTAGAGCAATTTTGGGGAGCTCTGGTAACACAGTGCCTAAGGCACTTAACTGCTAACCAGAAGGCTGGTGGTTCAAACCCACCTGCCACTCCTCGGAAGGAAGATGGGGCAATCTACTTCCATAGTGATACGGCCTCGGAAACCCAAGGAGGGGTCGCTATGAGTTGGGTCCAACTTGATAGCACTTTAACAACAACAACAACAGAGCAATTTTGTTCCCCAGGAGGTGTTTGGCAATATCTGGAGACATTTTGGTTGTGACTTGGTGGAGGAGGGAGGGCTGCACTACTGGTACCAAGTGGGCAGGGGAGCCAGAGATGCTGCTACGCATCCTACAACACAGGACCTCCTCCTCTAGACCACTGTAAATCAGAAGGGCATTCTACAACTGGCTCAAGTTTCTTAGATTGTCTTCACTATAGGAACAAGTTAAAGTTACATATATAAATACACCAAACACATTAAAAAGTAGCATATAAACTCAACAGCCAGTATTCAGTCATGGGTCAGAGCAAGTATTTAATTAAGTAAAAGAAAGAAGTGGGAAGTGGCAAACTATTTCAAAATTATGGATTTAAACTTTGAATCTAAATTTGACTCATCTGAAAATAAGTTATCAAAATCCACAAACCTGTCAACACCTGTGGCATCCCCACCCAAGGAACTATGCCAATGAACTGGAAGGAATTCCACTCTGCTTACTTTCTGATCATCTAAAGATTTCTTAAAATGTGTCTGCAGCAATTTGAGAGAAACCACCCTAAAATCATCCACTTAAAAAGGAAAAAAAAAAAAAAATCAGGTAAGACAAATTAAATTGATTCAATCATCGACTTCAAGAACAAAAACACAAAATCAAATCATGTAAGTTGACTAAACTGCCCTGCTTTATGGCTACCCAGCAATTACCTCAGATATGCCAGTAACTTAACTTCCTAGAAGAAAGGAGGGTGACAAATTTTGTCAAAAAAGGTACCTAACCTTTCAGAAGCTCTTTTTAACTTTTCATTATTTTACAGAAAATCGTAAATGGCTGAAAACCACTACTTCATCTACCACTAGTGGGAGGTGGGGCCCTGCGGACCCCACTCGGGAGTCCAATAGCTGCCTACGGACCCTGCCTTCCCGCCTGGGGTACAGGAGAGGTAACGGAACCCCTCTGGGCATCAGCTCCCCACCTAACTGTGGGGTTACAGGGATGGCAGTAAAGCACCTACACCCCAAAGCTTATGTGAGGGATAAACGAAATAATACATGCATGCACGTGGCACATGCCAAGCGCCCGGGAAGTATGAACTATTATGACATGAACACAAAAAGTTAGTTATAGTTTCATTAAACATCATCTCACAATTAAAACTCACTGTGAGCAAGTCAAGCACACAGATGCTCTTACTCACTGGAGGTGCCCAGGCAGAGCTGTCTATCAGAAAGGCTAGGCTAAATGATTTCCAAGCCCCCTTCTAACTCTTCAGAGTCCAGGATTATTTGAGTTAGATAAGTCACAAGAGCAAAGGAAGTATAAATTAATTTTTCCCACTCATCATTTAAATCTGCATCTTATGACCTAGTCTGCATCTCCAGCAAGTAGCATACAGCTGAAAATGGATGCCTAAAAGGTCTTGTACTAATTCTCAATCATTCCACGAAACCAACACTTACCACATTCAATAATGCTTCTGAAGCGCAAGTCACACACAGGTCCAATGCCATGCACCATGAACACTAAATGGTCAACCTGTGGCATTTCTCCTAAAAAAACACATCAATCACTGATGAATGCTGGAAATCTCTTTGGGTTTTCTTAGCTAATAGCAATATTCTAGGTATCACTTATGTCATCCGTGGACTTGTCAAAGAAATTCACGACCCTTCCTGGCTAATGAAACAAGCCTCATCAGCTTCCACCGTATTAGAAAAACAAAGCTCAAAGGACATCTTGACAACTAACAGCGCAGTGGACTAGGTGGACGGTGTGGCTGGGCTCTTTCCCACAGGTGATCAGTAAGTGGGGACCAGAAAGCCTGCACCTATGGAGACTCCACAACCTCGGAATTCCCTCGGAGCTCCCCGGGCACTAAGCTCCACGTGGAGATGTAAACTTACAATCTTTTCCTCAAATCCTTCCCCTTGCTTTGTAAGACTGAAATATTAAATCACCAAGTTAAATCGACCTTGTTTTTGTACTCTGGTTATTTCACTCAGATTTCATAATATAAATGCCTATTTATTTTATAATTTTATAAGACAATGAAATAAACATGAATACAAGTAATTATCAAAATGTAATCTCTATTTAAATGGCACAATCACGAAACCAACGCACATTCCCTAGAGCAGGCTTGGCAAGCTATGGCTCGTGAGTCAAACCCAGCCCAATGACTGGCTTGGTGAAGAGTTCTACTGGAATACAGCTATGCCAATTTGTTTACGTATTATTTATAGCTGCTTTCACAATACAATGGCAGAACTGGACAGTTATAACAGTCTGTACAGCCCACAAAGCCCAAAACACTTACTATCTGGCCCTTTAGTGAAAAAGTTTGCAGACTCCTGCACTCAAATAGGATAAACTAGTTGAGGCATAAAAAACCAAGCCCAAAAGCATTCCCGAAAGTCTAGTTTTAACCAGCAAAGTGCTTCTTCAAAACAAAACAGATTTTAGAAGCGATGTTAAATGCTTTGCGTACCTTCAACCAAATTCTGAATTAAATAATAAACAGATGTAAAAGTAATAAAATTTAAAAGAAAGACGTACAAAACTGCTTGGTTTCTGTACACTGTGGTAATTCTAATTAATAACTGAGTTTCTTTCCATCATGTTAAAGGCTGGTGCTAAAGTAATGAGAAACTAAAAATGCACCCTGGTTCCAACAAACCACACACACCGTCAGGAATCTCGTCCAGGCTGTCGTCAATCCCCCGTTTGACAACCCTGGGCCTCGTCTGTCCATCCTGTGTGGTCCCCCATTCATCTGGCACTGAGGAAGGCTGGAACTGGACAATAACCTTCAGAAGATAACAGAACAATTACGTCAACTCATTATCAAATTCTTTTTCAATGTAAGCTGAATTGCTTATTTCAATACATAATGAACTACTTGATAGCATGAGTAGTTCATAAATCAAGTTAGCACTGTTATCCCAAAACCAATTTTCTAAGAGTCCTACTAGAGTTTATTAACCACCAAAAGCAAGCAAATCAACAAGAGTGTTTCCAATGCTTATGGTGAAAAAACACTATTAATTAAATCAGAAATCATAAACCTTGATTATTAAATCCAATGTAAAAATCTAGATTTACACATAAGAAGAAATTAAGGAAGAAGTCTTTGTCTTATAAAAACATGTAAAGCAAAATCCTTTAAATAGTTAACTGATTTACCCACTCTTTCTGGGAAAAAAATCTCTTCTGTTAAATCAACTATATTAAATTTAGCTCTGTCATTCAGAAACATTTATTCGAAAAAAGAAAACAATTTGTGTGTGTGTAGGTATGTGTATGTGTATATATAAAACTATATATACATATACACACACATATATACATATACATACATACTTGCATATACGTAAATACATGTATACACACACGTGTATACACATACATATGCATGCATACATACATATACATACAAGAATAGTCATGCTGATGTGTAAAATTTTTGTATTTGTATTAAAAAAACAAACGCACAAGAGTGGTTACAATGAAGGAGAGAAAATGGGGTGGGGGATGTGGGGGACACAGTGTCTCAATTTTATTGAGTACCCTTCTATGCTGTTTAAATTTGACTGCTAACCAGAAGGCTGGTGGTTCAAACCTACCAGCCACTCCTCCAAAGGAAAACGGGGCGATCTACTTCCGTAGAGATACTGCCTCAGAAACCCAAGGAGGGGTCGCTATGAGTTGGGACCGACTCAACAGCAGTGAATTTGGTTTTGGTTTTGGTCCTTATTTTAGCATCAATAAGGATTACAGTGGTAAGGAGATTAGGGTTAATCTTGTTTTCTCTTTATACTTTTCTATAAAACAAAAACCAATCATGTTCTGAGAAACTACTGAGTGTCAACCACTTTTCACAGCTTCCACATGAATTACTTCATCTGAAAGTTGCCCCTGGGCTATAACTAGGACTGAAGGCGAGGAATCTGGAGTTCAGAGAGGTGACAGGTGGTGAATTTTAAAAATCAGAATTATCACTAATCAATATTAAAAAAAGAAAAGAAAAAAGAGAAATTCATGGAGACAACACAAGTAAAAAGAGGAAGGATGCATTTTTTTCTGCAAACATTAAAAGTCATCAAGGCCAAAAAAAATCATCAAAACCACTGCCTTTGAGTTTGACTCACGGCTACCCGAAAGGACAGAGGAGAACTGCCCAAAGGCGTCGCCAAGGCTGTAGTCTTTACAGAAGCAGACTGCCTCATCTTTTTCCCACCGAGCGCCTGTTGGGTTCAAGCCACCAACCTTTTGGTTAGCAGCCAAGCTCCTGAACCACTGTGCCACCGGGGATCCTTTCATCAAGAGCAGACGTGGGCAAATTATGGTCCACAGGCCAAGTCCAGGCCTCTGCCTGTTTCTGTAGTTTCACCGAAACAGTCACGCTCGTCTGTTTACACACCGCGTGCGGCTGCTCTGCTTTCCTGTTCCAACAGCAGAGCTGGCGTAGCTGCCGCAGAGGCCAGATGGCCTACACACCCTAAAGTCCTCACTCAGGCCCTTTACAGAGAAAGCCTGCCCAACCCTGATCAAACGCAACTTCTACAACGCACACTGAGCCTCAGCGCACACGGTGCCATCAACGGAAACCTCATGAGGAAAAAATTTAAATTGCGTTTTTGTTTCAGGATGAACGTGAACTATAGTCAACTATCTTGAAAGTAAAGTTCTTGTTACAAATAGAGCTTCCCGCAGAAATGACGAAAAATGAACATTTATCAAACACTTCTAGCAAAATAATATTAAAATTAACTAACGCTTTAACCTCTTAAGTAGTGTCACTACCTTTGGGTTGTGCATAACAATCGTCTCTCCGCTGGGGAACTCTAACCTGCGGTGCCACTGGTTCGTGGTTACAGCTTTTTTATATTCCGCCTGGAAACAGAAACAACATGGAATCCCACGTGAAAAGCTGAATCACATGGAGAGGGGTGGAGGAGAACAGCAATGAGGGAAAAGGGAGCAGCAGCTCTCATTTGCTGACTGGTTCCCCCCCTGCACTTCTTCACCATGTGCATCACCCATCTGATCACTCACCCTGAATCACTCCTAGATGATACTACTCCCTCCTACAGCGGAGAGAACCAAGTTCAGCTGAAGCACAGAGTTTCACAAGCCGACACAACTGCTAAGGAGCAGTGGCAAAAACGAGGTTCATGTTCCCAGGACCTGCTGAGTGCAAAGCCCTGACTGGTCAGCCAGTCTCCCCTTCCTCAGGACACACGTTCTGAGGCTCAAGACATACCGATTCTGCTCCACCAGCCCTGTCCACCTGACCCTCCGCCTCATTTGGCTTTTTTAATGTTAAAACACATTTATAATTTTAAAAAACAAGATCACTTGGTTCCCAGCTCCCCTTCCTCAATATTTTGATCAAACATTCTAAAGAAGAATCCTTGATCAAAAGGAAGCAAATGTGTCACACAGACCAGGCTCAGGCCAGCTCACTAGACCCACCACACACCCTCCTCCCAACCCCACGTAATGTGACATCATGCTGGAAGCTTGAAATTGGCTCCAGTAGGAAAACATACACCCCAGAAATACACAAATGCTGTTAAGTCAGGGGCTTTCTTTCCTAGAGAGCTGGTTTACCAGAACACTCCTGTGTCTGACAAATAAAGTGTAAGTGTACTCCATCTCAGGGTCAAATGGACTTCTTACTATGGGTTGAAATTAAAAAGTAACTTCGGTCTTTACTTTAGACCAACTCTCAACTGCTGGCATCATGTGGTTACGGGATAATACTGTATAGCCACCACTGCTACAGAGCACCACTGCTACAGAGCTTAGTGTTTCCAGAGCAGGCGCAACTGGTAACGCCTAAAAACGGCACTTTAATAATTTTTAGAAAAGGCAAAATAACTTATAAAAAAGTTTATTTTTTATTTTGTTATTATTAATTGAAAAAATATATATATAATACAAGTCTAAGATGATATTAAAAGCCATTGATTTGATTTGAAAGACTGAACTTTTTATTTCTAAGAATTATATGCCATTCTTTTTCCCCATCATGTTTTTTAAGACAAAAAAATTAGTAATTAATAATATGAATCCAGAGACAATTAATGATTTAGAGGCCCCTTTCAATGCTAATGTTAAGGAGCTCTGGTGGCATAGCACCTAAGGCATTTGACTGCTAACCAGAAGGATGGCAGTTCAAATCTACCAGTCACTCCACAGAAGGAAGACTAGGCAATCTACTTCCATAAAAACTGACTGCCTCAGAAACCCAAAGGGAGTCGCTATGAGTAGGAATTGACTGGATGGCAGTGAGCTTGGCTTTGGTGTTTAATGCTAATGTTAGTGCTGTTTCCATGTTTAGTGTTAGCACTGGTTACAGAAGTTTTGATGGCTACTACCTCAAATAACATTCTGTATCTCATCTCCCATGAATGCAGTCAAATTCATGTAACTTATTTCAAATAATGAATAGCTGACCACCAAGCAGAGCGAAACCTGTGAGAGCCCAAATTCAATGGGACTGCCTTTTCTTTCTGGGTCTCACAAGTCTTCCCACTTTTCGTTTGCTCTTTTCCAGGGGAAATATCTGCGTTTTCCTTTTCTGACGAGTTTCTGCCTACACAGGTTCTACCTCTTCCAGGTTTTCCTGCATAATTATCACAAGAATGTAACAGTTATTCTAACAACATTAACCAGCAGTCTGAAGACAGCTAGTAAGCCTCATGGCATTAGGGTCTATTCAGCTTCACATTTATTTTCACAGTTCAGAAGCTAATTTCAGGCCTTTTACTGAATATTAGTTTGAAAAATGGCCATCTGCTTGGCACCTGTTGTCAACTACAGATGCCGGTAGCTTAAGTTCTTCTGAAGGTGTGGCACAAGGACCTCATCAGGCTTGTGAGGTACCCGACAGGACAGTCCACCTCCAAGCACTGAGGTCAAGACAACAGAGTCAGCAAGGGCCAGCACACCTGGAAAGCCATCTTCTTTGTGAAGAGGAGCAAGACAGACCCTCTTGTCAATAAAGTAGCTCCACAGGGAGAGGCGGTACGTGAGGCACCAGTGTACACGGGGCTCACGTTTCAAGAAACGCATCAAGGAATCAAGTGCACGTACCTCTAGCTTTTCACCGAACTCCTCAGTATAGGGAATGAATCTGCTATCCGTGTCCCCCTTGTAGAACCACGTGCAGCGCCTCACTTCGGCTGGCTCCTCTTCCCAGTACACGGGCTTCCTCACTCGGTCATACAGGTAAACGTCGTAACGTCCTCCGTCCGTCCCCAGAACCACACTCTCAGGGTCTGGCTGGACTAGAGCACAAAGTCCCTATCTTAGCCCAACAGTTAAAAAGCATATTCAGAAATAACAAATAATGAATATGGTTGACTAGCCAATCCTTAAAGAGAAAGGACTAAGCTCATTTTTGTTTAAAAATATAAGTTTCAAATTAATCTGTGCTGCTCAAAATTATTCTTAAGTGAAGAATTAAAAAAAAAAAAAACTCACTGCCGTCAAGTCAATTTAGACTCAAAGTGACCCCTCTTTAGGTTTCCGAGGCGGTATCACTACGGAAGTAGATTACCCAGTCTTCCTTCTGAGGAGTGGGTGGTGGGTTTGAACCGCCAGTCTTCTGGTTAGCAGTCAAATGCCTTAGGCACTACACCACCAGAGCTCCCAAGTAGAGAATAGCCAACACAAAATTTAGAAACATGGTTTTAAAATAATTCAAGTATTAATAGGTATTGATTTTAAAATCTAATGATGATTGGGATAAACAAAGAAGCCTATTTCTGCAGGACTTCTCAGAGCCTTAATGTGCCTTGTGCACTGTCATCCTCCAGGACGTAATGATCCAAACAAAAATCCAAACTCACTGCCGTCGCGTTGATCCCGACTCACAGGGACCCCTCCTTGGGTTTCCAAAGTGGTATCACTACAGAAGTAGATTGCCCAATCTTCCTTCCGAGGAGTGGCTGATGGGTTTGAACCGCCAGCCTTCTGGTTAGCAGTCAAGTGCCTTAGGCGCTACGCCAGCAACAGTAAACACCATTTCCAGAACTCATCTGCCCGTGGAACTGTATTTTAAGCCTCTCCAGGAACTAGAGTTCCACAGAAAAAGCTCTTATAAATGTCCCATAACTACAGATAAGGGAAATAGGAAGACTGAAAAAGCTGACCCTTGCAGTATGAGTTACTCTATTTTCTGATTTAAATCACATTTAAACACAGGGAACTGATGAACTTTGAACAGCTTCCTCAGATAAATCAGGACTTCATTACATCGCCACATCACGGGTCAGAGTCTGGTGGGGTCTGCAAGAATTAAGGAATCTGACATTCACAAAAACCAGGTTGTAGGTAGTGTCTTCATTGCTTCTCTTCCTAAAATCAGACATGATGCTCAACCAGTACACTCACCTGAATTATAGATTTCTTCAAGATTCATAGAGTCATATGCACTGAAGGGCATCCACAGTTGTTTGTATTCTACTTCCTTGCAGTAGAACCAGTGGGGTTGAACAGGTTCATATTGGTTTTGAAGCAGAAAAGGCGGTGGCGTTTGCACCAAGGGGCCTGCAGGTCTAGCCAGTACCTGCTGCTGTGTTGGGGGGGGCAAGGCTGACTGCAAAGGAGGAGGAGCCTGGAGGAGACAAAAAGTGTGGACCGTCATCTTTGTCCAAAGGAACAACTCTGTCTATGCTCCTGACCCACACAGACAAAAGTATAATTGCTCTAGATCCATTTCTGGATGACTATTAAGTTTATTAACTTAATAGTCCCCAAAACAATTGAAAAATTTTTTAAAAAACCCCAAGAGCAGTTGCCACGTGGAGTCCTCACCCTGCAGCAACATAAACTACTACCCTGATGAGACTCACTTTAGCAGTATGTCCTCTATGATTCATTTCACCTTTAAAATGGGCACATACCTTGAACCAGTCATTCTACCTCTAAGACCTTACCTTAGAGATGGAATTACTAAAACAGGCAAAAATTTACCTATAAGGAGTGGGTTATTATATTAGAAAAACACTGGGCTGAGTTCTAAATTCTTCATTTTAATCTCTTCCCTTCTGAGATTCAGCAAAGTTCTCTTTTGAAATCACTTGAATAATCAACGGAGAAACAAGCATAAGGGGACTTTATAAAATTTGCCCAGTGCTAAAGCTGCCCCATCACCCAGAGACAGAGTGTGGATGTCTAGATCCAAACTCCATAAAGTAAATAAAAGAAAGTACTGAGGGAATCAATTTTTGTCCCTATAATTGAGTGTTTTGATTAAACGGTATAATTAAAAGATGAGAAGCTGGCAGTCTGTTAAGACAGTAATTGTTTCTCCTCTCACTTATCCCTAGATGACACTTCTTATTACTATCTCAGACTAAAATCTAGAAATATTAGCATGTAGCTTACTCATTAAAATCAATTACTACTTCAATAAGTAAAACAATCCCATTGCCAACAAGTCGATTCTGACTCATAGCGACCCTGTAAGGTAGAACAGAACTGTCTCATAGGCTTTCCAAGGCAGTAACCTTTTTTTTTTTTAATTGTGATTTGGGTGAAAGTTTACAGAGCAAATTCACTTTCCATACAGCAGTTCACACACACATTGTCTCATGACATTGA